GTGCCTCTTCTCATTCAGTTATTCCTTGTGTTAGAGCTGCTAGCTGTCAACCAGCATCTGTTCTCTCCTTCCTTAGCCATAGGCTGCCCAACCAGATGACACTGCCAAGCCCCTTTGCAGCAGGGCAAGGCCCGGCCATTAAATTCCTACCCATGGAATGTGAGTGGAAGTGATATGACCCTCTCCCAAGTGTAGGGCTTAAACTCCTGGACATGTGCCCTTCCATCCCCTTTCCTTTCTGATCAGATAAAACCTAGGCATCACAGGCCCTGCAGATGAGGACAATGTCCCAGAGGAAGGTGGGGCAACAGTATGGAAGGAGTCTGGGTCCCTGAACAAAGGCAGGAAACAGATTCCAGGCCAGTCTCTACCACTCACCTCGTGAATGGGAGAACACTGAACGTCCATGCTCCTGAGTCCTTGATGCTTTTCCCCTCACGTTAAAAACTGCTTGGTATGCACCAGAGCAGCTCTGCATTCCCTGCCTGCCCTACTCCTTCTCCTCCTTACTCCCACTTCTCCAGGCCTGACTTCCTTGCTCCCCAGGCAGGTGCCCTGGGAAAAGCACGGGCGTGTTAGGCGTTTGGTGGAGACACGGCTTGGCTGGGCTTTGGCTCTCTGCAGGTTCTGAGCAGAGTTGCCAGCTCTTCTAACAGCCGAAGACCCTCCCTGTCTCCAAACTGAGATGGCTTCTCTTGTCTTGGGCGGTCACCTCAGAGTCTCAGCAGAGCCAGACAGACCTCCACCTCCTCCTTCTGGTCAGTCACCCTCTTCTCCCGTCCCCAGTAACCCAAGCTAAGCCTCCACTTAGCTCTTGGGCCAAAGTTGTGTGTTGAGCCCATCCCGACATTTCTATCTCCCTATTTAGGTAGAAGGGCTACTGGGGTAGATCAGGGGAAAGCTCCTAGAGCTCGCCACCGCATCCACACACTAGACTAGTTTCCACACGGGACAGTGGGTGGCTCCTGGAGAATGTCTTATTGTGAACTCCATCAGGTGATGACTCAAACCGCTGCTTTTCCAGATGTGGTTTCTTTACTAAAGCAAATAAACCCAGTGTCTGGCTCTTTGAATTCAACCTCTGGTCTGTAAAATGTTGTTCTCTGTATCATTTAGTCAGGACCACCAAAAGCCATTTGCTTTTACTTGGTAGGGCAGCAGTTTCTTAATGTGGGGCTATGTCAGCCTTTTTGTTCTCCGTCATAATTTGATCTGTAGAGACCTTTGATCTGTATAACAGAACACCAATGCACGACATTGATGACATCGGGCTATACCCAGGGCACAGGAAATAGCAAGTGCACCAGATGCCTTAGTAAGACCCACGCACACCAGAGGGTGGGATCTAACCCCCCAAAACATTCAGGGGCCTCTAACCATGGTGAAATTTGTAGGGACCCAGGGGTTAGGAAATGTCAGGCTATCCCCTCTAAGTGAAAGACAAGTTGCTACACCCACCACTAAGATCAAAGCACTGCAATTGGTGGCCCCCTTTGGATTTGAGAGGCAATGTACGCTCATCTGTGTGTGCTGCTCCAGACCATTTGCTGAGTAATGCATAAGACTGCTGGGTTTGGATGGATCCCAAAGCAGACTCAGGCTGCAGTGCAAGATGCTCTGCCCGTCGAGTCTTATGTTCCAGCAGATCCAATGGTGTTTAAGTTGTCTGTGATTTAGACATGGTGTATGGAACCTCCAGCCAGCCCTAGTAGGAAAATCTCAGTGCACACCCCTAGCACTTGGAACCAAGTCATGTCCTCTTCTGCAAATCACAATCATCCTTTTGAAAACTAGTTTCTGGTCTGCTACTGCGCCCTGGTAGAGCCTGAACACCTGACCATGAGACACCCAATGACGAGGTGACCTGAGCTGCCCGTCACAAACCCAATGTTCAGCAGTGTTCTATCAAGTGGAAGTGAAACTTTCAGACTATGTCGGCTATTCCTGCCACATTGCCACCTCTTCCTCACCCGACATCTAAGGTCTTGTGACGCACGCCCTATGATCAAATGATGGAAGAAGAAGAACCTCAGTCCTGGTGCCAACTGGAAGTGGATGGTCACAGCACCACGAGCCTGGCCTCAAAAACGTGGGAGAAGGAAAATCCTCTCGGCGAACAGGGCTTCAAGCAGTACGTGGGGTTGTCCACTGTATCAAGATGGAGACAAAAGTCCAAAAATATGGATCTACACATATTCATGGGATGGGGTGTTTAGCTGGGTGATCAAGAACGAGAATGGAAGATTGGTAATGAGGACATCTGTGAGAGAAATACTGTGGCTAGATCTATAACAAGGGGCACGGAAAGAGAGGATGTTTGTATTCTATGCGGATATCCCTGCCAAAAGTACTCACTGTAGAAGAGACTCTCAACAAATAGATGGACACCACGACTTGTTCTGTAGGTATAAGTCATTACCCTCCCCCAGCCACCCTAGTGCTTGCTCGATAGGCTCAAATACAAAATGGCCATGGTAATGGAGGTAGAGGTTCTAGGTGGACACAACAACATGGACTTCCTCTCAGCAAGACTGATTTAGCTAATATCAGAATCGAGTGCCCAACTTGCCCAGAATACCTGATATGGCACCATTCCCTGTAGGAACTAGCCACCTCGTGGCAGATATAGTACACTGACCCCTTCCATCATGACGAAGGTAGCAATTTATATATTCTCTATATAGATTTGCCTTCTTTGACCACCACGCCCATGGACACTTTGGTTCCAGTCTTGGTGTTCCATACAAAATTGCTTCTGACCAAGGAGTTGATATCACAGCATAAAGAATGCAGCAGTGTAATTATACCTATGGAAATTTCTGGTCTTACCATGTCTGTTATCTAGAAGCAGCTAGGCTTATAGAACATTATAGCACCAGCCAAGAGATGCTGCAATGTTGGGGTGATGTCCTACAGGATGCAATATATACTTTGTACAAACCATAGTGCTGTTTCTTCCACACCCAGAAAACATCGATCCAGCAGTGCTGAGGTGGAAATGGGAGACTAGCTCTCACTATTGCACATAATAATCTATTCACAAAAATGTTACTTCCTATCCCTGAATCTTTGGACTTTGATGGTTTAGAGATTATAGTTCCCAAGGAAGGAATGCTTCTGTTGGGGAATACTTCAATGGCTCAGCTGAATTAGCAGAAGTTGAGTTTGCCATTTGGCCATTTTGATCTCCTCATACCATTGAAACTACAGACAAAAAAGTTTCCTCTACAGACCACGGTGATTAGTCCCCATCACCGAGGGTAAATGGGCTTGCTGCTGCAATGGTGGCATGGGACACTCTGTTAGGAAGTAGAGGATTCTCCGGGGTGCCCCACAGTATTTCCACAGCAAATAGTAAAAGATTAATGGAAGACCACAGCAGCCCAAGGACCACCAAAGTCTAAGTCCTTTCACCAGATAAAATACCCCAACCATGAGATGTTGGTTGAGGACAAAGAGAATTTAGAATAGCTAGTGGGGAAAAGAGAAATTATCAATATCAACAACGGCCTTGGGATCAGTTACAGAAATGAGGACTCTGGCAGCTATGTGGATTTCCTTCCTTGCTTGTTATGTGTGTGTATACATTGTGCATAAGGAATGCCAGTGTTGGCTAAACTGATGTTTTAATCTGTAGGTTACAGCATACTGAGGAGTGCCTGTGACCTCTAGAAATAGAGGAACAAGAAGAGAATCCAACATCATCCAGAATGGTGTTACTGATGAGGCTTTGTGAATCTCATTTTGGAGAGAGGGTGAGAGCAGACCAGTCAACCCCACTGGGATGAAGCATGATGTTTTTGTTCTTGAGTGGAGTTTAATTATGAGTGGAGAGTCTGCATGCATGTTTGAGTAGCCTAAGGGGGGAGCAGTGCCAGATGTTGACTCTGCTCTCATGTTCCATGCTTTCCCTGTCTGGGCTCTGGCTATTTTTTTTTCTTTTCATCTTGATGAACAACAACAACAACAAAATGGGCATTTGCAAAGTCAATAAACTATGCTTTATGTTCTATAAGTTATGTCCCTGGCTTAATGTTCTTTAGACATCTTAGCCCATTTTTCCCTCTGGGGGACTGCGGGGCATGTGCCTTGGGTGTACCCCGAAGGACCACATTCATGTTAATATAAGCAGATGCTTGTGAGCATGCTTTATAACCTGGGAAGCCCTGTGTCCAAATGAGGTGGGTTTAGGCCAAGGTCAGAGCATTGCACAATCCATCCAGAAGCCATCCCCACAACCAGCAACCTAAGCCCTGGACTCAACTCTTGTTTGCTCTTGCAAAGCACTGAGTCTGAACCTCGTGTCTCTGCATCTCTGGCCCCAGACTCTGGAAATGAGAGATGGATGGACAACACAGGTTTAGAAATGAAAAGCAACTGCTCCTCCTGAATGCTTTATTGGGGGCTTTCAGTGGTTTCTAAGCATGAGCGGCAGTGACACCCAGACCCTCTCCCAACATGCAAAAGGCACAGGAAAGTGAGACATGACCAGGGAGGGCAGCAGGGATGCAGGCACCCCCCCTCCTCCACATGGCATGTTGGGGCACAGGGGGAGCCCCATGAGTGATGGGGAAGGTGGGCATTAAAGGAGGTGCCTTTGGCATAGGCAAAGAGAGACAGACCCTAGTCCATCCACCTCCAGACCCGCCCCTACACTCAGGCCAGGACTGACCTTCTGAGAGAAGGTCAAGATGGCTCTCACTGAAAGGCCACCTCCCATGGTGGGAAATGTCAACCTCAGATGGGAAGAGGATGATGGATGGATGCTACCTCCAAGAGCTTCTGGTAAAGTGTCAAAGCAAACACACTGGCCAAATCAGGAGGGGGAACGAGAGGGTGTGCTCATGGGGTCGTCCCAGGCGTGACCTGGTGATTGGCTGCCACTGCCTTGGCTTCAGCCAGTGCTGTCTCAGTCCATGTGCAGGAGAAGAGTGGAGCCCCTTCGGGACTTCAGAGGCCTCCCCGGGGTCTGCCGTCTCCAGCCCCACCCGGAGGCACCACTTAGAAGAGTCAGTGTTGATGTTGGCTTTGTCCTGTGGAAGAGTTCCCTGGGCAAGAGGGAAGGGGAGGCGAGGGGTCAGGCCCTCGGAGCCCCCAGCACCTCCCGGAATCTGGGCCTTGGTGGCCGGAACAGCCTGGGACTCACCTCAGATCCTAACCAGTCCCCCCAGTTCCATCTTGAGACCTTGAATCAAAAGAAAAGGTATTCGTGTTTTGTTTCTGTTCTCTCTCTCCCTCTCTCTCTCTCACACTCACTCTTTCTCTCCTTTAGTAGAGCTGTGGCCTCAACTCACGGCATTGGCAACGTCTACCTCTAAACTATGGAATGTTTTCACATTGACGATAGAATTACTCCAAACAGGGCAGGGAGTGGCTGTCCAAGTTCATGAGACAGTGCGTTACTGAGAGCTTGCTGGGGGTCACACAGGACAGAGACACCAACAGGTACCAAGCCCAGGCCTGGCTCTAGATGTATTTTTTCTTGAGGTACCAGTAGGCAAAGTAGCCCATCCCACCCAGGGAGCCCATGAGGAAGGACGCCCCAAAGAAAGATGGGGGTTTCCGCTTGACCAGCCGGAACGCATTGGGGATGACAGCCGACAGCAGAGTGGTGTGGATGTCGCCGAGGACCTTCCGGAAGGCCAAGCGCTTCTGGACCCTCTCAAAGAAGGACTGCAGGTTGGGCCGGCTGCCGTCTTCCCAGTACTTCTTGGACAGTCCCAGGAACTTGAGGCGGTGCAGGGTAGCTCCCAGGAGAACGTCGGCGAGGGTGAAGGCACAGCCGCAGAGCCATGGTTCACACTTTTGCCCTGGAGTGGAAGGGAGAGGAGATGGGGCGGGGGGCTCCCTTCTCTGCCACTGACCCGCTGGCCCCTGCCCACCCGCCCGCTCCCTACAGCTTTCATCACTTTTGTCCAAGGCTTACACTACCGCTGTTAGTGTTTTTTCTTTAAATCAACTGACTCTTAAGGTGCAAATACATGTGTCTAAACTCTAGACTCCTGTGTCTAACTGCCCGTTTGACAGGCTCCACCTGGATATCCACCATGCCCTTCAGACCCGGTATGTCCAAAACCGAATTCCTGATTGTCACCCCCAACCCCACCACACTCATCCCCATGTCAGTGACCGTGTGCCCACCCTTTCAGTCGCTTGGGCCAAAGCCCCATGCCCCCATGCCACGTCGAGTCCCCTCCCTTCCATCCCTCATGTATAGTGTGTCAGCAATTCCCATCAGCGTCTCTTCCAAACACATCCAGAGTGTGAGGTTGCCTCTGTGGTTACCAGCCCGGTCCAAACAACCATCCTCTCCAACCTGATAGATCTCCCTGCCTCTGCCCTTGACTTCCCGAGTCTGTTCTCAACACAGCAGCCAGAGGGACTGGAAATGGGCATGGCTTGCCTGGGGCGCCCAGTGAACAGGGAGTGATTTGTGAGAAGTCAAGATTCGGCAAATAGATGGAGATAAATTAGGGGAAAAGCTTAGAAGCCCCACAAAGGAGTTTGGACATGAACATGGTTAGTGGGGAGAATTGTAGGGTTTTGAGCCAAGACGTGATGTAGGAAACCAAAGGAGCTCCACGTCCATCTCTGGGCTTTTGCCGCTGCCAGGCCTCATGCCTGGGATGCTCTCCCCTCTGCTTCCTGAGAGGTCTGCTGTCCTGGAAAGCTTGCTTCTGCATCTTTGAGCAGGTGTGCCTTTCAACTCAGAAATGCCCTGAATCTGATGCCCTCCACCATCAAAGCCTGAGTCCCTCCATCCCTCTCACTCTGTGGCTTCTTGTTTATTCATTTATTCATTCACCCAACACATGTTTATCTAGTAGTATGTGCTGGGCATGAAGACCCGAGATGACACGACGCATGATAAGACACAGAGGCTCATGCCTTCACAGGACGAGGAGGTAAAGTGTGATGAAGGCTCTAATCCAAAGTTTGTTCTTGACACATAACTTTCAAGATGCCTATTAGATATCCAAGGGGAGATGATAAATCAGCAGTCAGAGGTACACGTACCTAGTTCAAGTGTGCATCATCAACATGGGGATGGGAGGATATCAGCAAGCGAGTGAGCGTAGACAGATCTGAGAATAGGGCCAAGGACTGAGCTTTGGGGCTTCGAGATTCAGATGTTGGGCAGCAAGGAGAAACCAGCAGAGGAGCATGAGAAGGAGCACCTGTGAGGTGAGAGATGAAAGTGTCCCGGGGGGAAGAAGGGAGGTGTTTGAATGCTGCAGAGAGGTCTGGTAGGAGACTGAGAACTGTGGTGGCATTTGGTGACCAGTGGCCTTGACAAGAGCAGTCGGATTGGATGCTGACGCTGAAAGCCTGGTTGGAGGGAGTCCAAGAGAGAAAGGGAGGGGAAGAACTGCAGACTGTGAGCAAGGATCACTCTGTCAAGGAGTTTTGCTGTGATGGCAAGGACACACCAATAATGCGAGACAGGTCAAGAGTGTCTTTGCAAGCGGGGAGGGAGAACCCAGCATGTTGATGGGGATGAGCTAGCAGAGAGGGGGAAATGATGCTACCGAGGACAGTGGAGTGCTTGAGCGGATGGACATCTAGTACACAAGGGGAGAGGTTGCTCGTTCAAGGACAGCTCACTGTCGGTAATTCGAGGGAGTGCATGGTGCTGTAGCTCATCCAATCTATGTTGCCGGGGAGTGGAAGACAGCCACCCCGGAGAGAACAAGTGGTGCCAATTCAACTTTGATTGTGAGAAACATTCCAATTTCGGAGATGCTAAGCTGTGCTGTAACAACAGTGTCTCTTAGAGCTGATAAAACACGGTGTGTGCGGGCACTGCCACTGGTGGGGGAGGCGCTGTGGGGTCCGAGCACTCCGGTTTCCCCAGTGAGTGAGGGGAGGGCTGGAGGCAGCAGGTGGAAGGCTGAGGAGGAAGCAGAAGGGATTAAGCAGTCACCTGGAGAGGGGACAGAGGGAGGCCTAGGGCAGCTGGAGAGCCAGCTAAGGCTCGTGGTCATGAATTCAAAGTGAGACCAGGCGGCACGAGTGCTTCTCCAGGCATGCTTGGGTTCACAGGCGCAGGCGCAGGTGCTGACGAGGTGGAGAGTTGGGTGTAACCATTTGAGGTTTTGCAAAGTACAATAAAGCCAGAGGAGGGCAAGGAAGCCGACGGTGCAGCCACCGGAGCGCTCTGACTGGTGGACGAAGCAGTTACTGCCAGGTACGGAGCGAGGTGAGATCAGGATGGGGGTGAGGGGCAGTGAAAGGAGGCAGGATCCGGGCCCCCCCCCCCCCGCGGTCCCCAGCGACGGACTGGAGGAGACAGGCAGATTTGAGAGCAGGACCAAGGACTGAGCCCTGGGCACTCAAGGTTTAGGTAAGGGAAAAGGGGAAACCAGCAAAGGTGCGGGGGAAGGAACAGTCTGCGAAGTGGGAGATGCACCAGAGCGTGCGGCGTCACCTCCCTGCTCCTGACAACAGTGCTGTCTGGGAGGTGCTCTTATTACCCCCACTTTACGCGAGGACCCTGAGGCACAGAGAGGTTAAGGAACTTGGCCAAAGCCACGCAGCTAGGACGTGGAAGAGCAGAGTCTGGATTTGAACCCAGGCCGTGTGGTTCCAGAGTCTGTGCTTGTAGCCACTACAGAACACTGCCCCTTCCCATGGGCAGATGGGCACGCACGTCGGCAAGCATCTGCACACACCCTCGGGCCCTTTCAACAGGTGCGTTCTCCATCGGGTCTGTACGCAGATCTGTGTCCGTAGCACGTGTGGTGTGTCTGTTTGCCCCTGTGTGCACCTGCTCAAGTCCATGCAGCGACTGTGTTTATACGTGTGGGCACCTGCATCCGTGTGGTGTGGGACCCCCAGATGTGTAAGCGCAGTGTATGCCCACGTCCGTTGGGCTGTTTGCCTGCAGACAGACGTTCCCAAACATGGATGCGCGTGTCATTGTCTGAGTGTGTCCACGCCTGTGTTTCAGTCTGTGGGCTGATGCTGAGAGCCACGACCACCACATATGCGGACGTGTGCAGCTACCTGGCGGGTCGTCCTTCCGTTTGCCCCTCTCCTCCAGCTGTGCGTGCCCTTCAAAAAGCCCCCAGCCCGGGACAAACCCTATCTTGTACCTTCCCTGAGTCTGCCAGCTGAGTGTGCTGGAGACACACTGACCAGCCAGGCTTCAAATTCATGAGCACAGAGCCCAAGAGGGCACTCGGCCACGCCTGGGCCTCTACGCGTTCTGGACTAGGCTGGCTTCTGCACGCCCTGCAGACATAGCCGCACAGCTTTCACGTCTCCTCACACTGGTCCCTAGTGCTCACTCAGGGAATGCATGCTGCATTCAGAAAACAGGAGCCTTCACTCCGACCACGGACCCTACAAAGCCAGGCACATGCACCCTGCCTTCGGCCACCCCGCTGACGCAGTGAAGGGTGCGAGCCACCCCCTCTCAAGGCCAGGCCCCCTGTGGCTCTCTGCACCGTCCGAGGCTGCACGTCTTCCCTTCGCCTTCCAGACCCGCTCTCCTCCCTTCTCCACGCTGCCCTGCGCCCCAGGAGGATGACCAGACGCAAACCCCAGGGGGGATCCCAGCCCTCGGGCTCTAGTCGGGTCCAGCCGCTGGGGAGCAGAGGCAGGAGGTGGGAGGGTGGGCGAGAGAGAGAGAGAGAGAGAGAGAGAGGTGGGAGTCTTGCTTCCCTCAGTGCCCCCTCTGCGGGTCGCCGTGGGCTGGCTGCATCCACAGACAGAAAGGCATAGTGCCTGTTGCCTGTCAGGTGGTCCCCCTCTCCACACAGCCTCTTTGTCCAGGTTCCGGCAACTACTCCCACCCCTCACGACCTCAGGGCCAGGGCACCCCATTTTTCCTTGTGCTCTCCCTGCATCCATCCCACATATTTGTAAACAGTCCCTTGATGAAGTCCTCTTCAACTGACCCCACGTGAAGGTGTCCTGTTTCCCACACGGCCCCGGCCTGAAGGACGCCATCCGTCCTACAGCACCGATTTCTCCTTCCCCCCGGGGTCTTCCTACCTGCCTGAAAACACACTCTTGTATCTCCTCTCTTCGCCCCACATCCTTCCTCAGGTTCCGTCCATCTCTCTACTTCCTTCCACAGCTAAACGTCTCAAAAGAGGGGCCTACACCTGCTGTCTTCATCCCTCGCCTCACATTCGCTCTTCAGCCACCCACCCCCACATTCTAGTGAGACTGCCCTTGGCAAGGTCACCACCAGCAGCCGCAAGACAAAATCCAGGGGACGCTTCCCTATCCTTGCTTCATGCAGACTCCCAGCAGCACTGGACACGGTTCTCTCCTTAAAACACAATCCTTTCTGGGTCCCATTGACACAAGGGTCCTCTGGCCGCACTGGCGACTCTCTCTGCGGGCTCTGTTGGCTCCTATGCCCCTCCCCCGACGTGGGGGGACCTCAGGGCAAGGGTGGCAGTTTTAAAATGCACTCAGGAGCCACTCAGTACTTTTCTGATGGAGCCCAATCTCCCTCCCCTTGAATATGGACTGTATTTTGTCACTTGCTTCCAATGAATAGAATGTGGCGGAAGTGACAGTGACTTCCAACAGGTCATAAAAGGCCCTGTGGCCGCCTCTCTCTCTCTGTGCTCAGCCGTCAGCCATGTTGTGAGGACCCTGGAGCAGCCCCATTGAGAAGCGCGGGCAGTGAGGAACCGGGGCCTCCCTCCCGCCAACAGCCAGCAGGGAATGGAGACCTCTAGTTACGAACCACGAGAACGAGCCATCTCGGCTGTGGATTCTCCAGCTCAAACGACTGCAGCCCCAGCCAACAGCTTGAGCGCAACCTGCATCATGCAGCCCTAAATTAGAACCACCCAGCCACCCTGCTCCAAAAGTCGTGAGCCGCAGAAAATGTGTGATATAATAAATGTGGTTTTTGTTGCTGCTTCAGCCCCTAATTCATGGGCGGTTTGCTGTGCAGCAAAAGGACACATCAGCCCTGACTCTGTTTTGTCTCCCTCCACTCTCTCCCTAGATGAATCACCCAGTTCTATGGCTTTAAATACCACATATATGATGGAGACTCACAAATCTCTCTCCAAATTCTGACCTCTCCTTTACAAGGCAGACTAGAATACCTAATGGCTTGTTTGACAACCCCCTCTTGGGTGTCTGAAAGGCCTCTTGAACACACTGTGTCCCAGATCGAACATTCGGCCCCCCTTGTCCATATCAGGAAATGGCACCATTCGGTAGCTCAGACCAAAACCCAGTAGTCATCTTGGATTCCATTCCCTTACTCTCCCCTCCTTATACAACCACTCAGCAATTTCCAATCCATTCTGTCTCCAAAATGCCTCTCGAGTCCATACATGCCTCCCCATCTCCCCTGCCACCTCCTCGGTCCAAGCCAATGCCATCCCTCCTGGGCTGCCTGACAGCCTCCACTCTGTCTCCCTTGAAATCCATTCTCACAGTAACCTGAGTGCTCTTAAAATTGGAACGCCTCACCCTGGGTGGACTGTGAAAATGACCACCCATTCCTGCTATTCCTGTATGCATGTGGCCTTGCTGCTTCTGCCAACAGGAGGTGAATCTTCACCTCTTTAATCCAGACTTGCTTTAGCTAATGGGATTCTAGTAAATTCCACACAAACAGAAGCTTGAAAAGTGTTTGCATGCTGAGGCTTTGCTCCTTGCTGCTCTCAGAAACCCTGCAACCACCACCATATGGGTGAGTACGGGTTAGCCTGCTGGATGATGAGCAACATGTGGCCCATTGGCCCAGCTGACAGCCAGCCAGCCGCTAGACATGCCAGGGAGGTCACTGACTGCCAGCTGACTATAAATACATGAGTGATGCCGCCACCAGCATGTGGGGCAGAGATAAGCACCCCAGCTGAGCCCAGCCCAAACTGCCAAACCACAAATCATGAACAAATAAAAGGTTCTTTTAAGTGACTCAGATTTAGAGTTTATTCATTATGCAGCAAAAGCTAACTGATACAATCCCCTTCTCAAAGCCCTCCAAGAATTTCCCATCAGATGGATTGTACATAGTACAAAATCTAAACTCTAAATATAGACTAAACTTTCACTATAAGTAAAATATAAATATGGTTCTATTCTAAATTCTAAATACAGGTCTATGATCTTGCATCTCTCTGGCTCTGTCCAACCTCACTTATGCCACTCTTCCCAGGACTCACCACACAGTAGCCAGTTCCTGGAGAGTTGCCAGCTATCCCCTCACCATGGTGTCCCCTCAGTCTAGGACACACCTCTCCCGGTTCTTCACTAGGCTGGCCCTTCTATATCTCTCAGGTCTCATTTGAAACGTCACCTCTTCAGAGAAGCTTTATCAAATTTGCCTGACTCTTTTTACTATCAGTCTTAACACTTAGCACTGTTTATAATTCTGTTTTTACTGATGGGATTATTTGACTAATGTCTTTCTTCTCTGCAAGACTATAAAACTACATGAGAGCAAGAACAACGTCTTGTTTTTACTTGCAATTTTATCCTCAGGACCTGGCACACAGTCGGTGTCCAAGAAATATTTCAATAAATGAATGAAGAAGAATGGTAATAGTAATTAATTTTGAAACTGCTATTTCTAGAACATTCTACCTTTAGCCAGGTACTGTGGAGAGTGATCAACACCCATTATCTTTATGAACCCTCACAACCCTTACTTACCTCTTTAAAGGCCCTTTCTCCAAATATAGTCACATTCCGAGATACTGGGGATTAGATTCTATTATTATCCACATTTTGTAGAAGAGCTCACAGAAGTGAAGTGAATTCTACAAGGTCACAGAACTAGGAGGTGGCTGATCAAGAATCCACATCAGTGTCATCTGGCTCCATGCTAGGGGTCCTAACTGTGACATTATAACACTTCCCAACCCTGGGTTCTGCCTCAGAAAGGGAGAAGTGGAGGGTATAAGCATTACCCCCAGGGAAGTTTGGAGGTGCCCCAGTGGGTGAATGAGACCATGGGGGCTCAGCCACCTCCCCAGACCTCTACTACCTCCCCCAGCCATGGAGGGACACAAGTACTGCCCACCATCTCCATCTGGAACAACCCCAGTCATCTTGCCATGGGGCAGTACAATGCTCCCTCCCCTTGGAAGAGCTCAGGACCAAAACAGAGACTGAGGTCAGGAGGCTCCCAATCTAGAATCACATGAGGAATGAGCATCCACAGCTGCTCTCCAGGACCGTCAACTCTGCCTTCCATCTAGGTCACACTCTGTGCCTCCCTTGATCGTATCAGCCGCTAATATTTGTGGGGACATTTCCATACCGTGTGCCAGGCCATGTGCTTATTCCCTTACACACACTTTCTCACTGAGCCTCACAACAGCCCTGTGAAGTAGGCTTTCATTTTATCACCCCTTTACAGAACAGAAGAAGCAGCAGAGCCCGCGCTTAAAACTCAAGACTCTGGGAGCCAGGGTTTGAATCTAAGCTCCACCATTTCTATCTGTGTGACCTTGGGAAGGTTACTGAAGCTCTCTGTGCCTTAGTTTCCTCATCTGTTAAACAGAGTCACTCATATTACTTACGTCCTAGAGTTGTTAGGGGCATTAAATTTGTTGAACTATGTGAAACACCTAGCACAGTGCCTGGCCCACAGGAAGTGTTGTTAAAGATACGTTGTGTGGGCTGAATTGCATCCTTCCAAAATTCATATGTTGAAGCCCTAATCCCCAGTATCTCAGAATGTGACTGTATTTGGAGAAAGGGCCTTTAAAGAGGTAAGTAAGTTAAAATGAGGCCATCAGGGTGGGCCCTAACCACTCTGACTGGTGTCCTTATAAGGAGGGGACATTTTGCCACACAGACACCAGAGGCATGCCCTCGGAGCAAAGCCTGTATGAAGACCCAGCAAGACTGTGAGCCCAAGAGCGATCTTGGAAGAACCACACCTGCTAACACCTTGATCTTAGACTCCAGACTCCAGAGCTGGGAGAAAATAAATCTCTATGGGTTAAGATATCCAGTCTGCAGTATTTTGTTAGGGCAGCTGAGCAAATTAATCCATAAATATGTAAGGTGTGCCTGATAATGAAGGTCAACTGATGAGAGAACAGCAGAGCTGGGACTCTGACCCCAGAGGCAATCTTGGAAACATCATGCCTTCTGGCCTCTGAGCACTCTTCGGCAATGGCTCCCTTAAGCACCTTCTCTGACAGAAAGGAGAAAGTTCCTGCTTGAGGTGCATACTATTTTTATTACTCAGCCTTGCCATGCTTTTGTCTACAGAGGATTTAGGGCCTGGCTTTAGAACTCATGACAATGTCCTATTCAGGACTTTAGGTATCTATGCGTACCTCAGCCTTGCCTCAGTTGTGAGATGCTGGAAGATCACTGCCCCTGTCAGGAGAGAACCTATGTTCTTGCCCTAACCACATGTTCTTGCCCTAACCATGCCATTTATGAGCTGCACGACCTTCAGCAAGTCCCTGTATCTCTCTGAGCCTCAGTTTTCTTAAAAAGAGAATGTGCATGCCTTTGGCTGTCATATGTTTAAACTAGCGTGTTCCAGGCAGTGGACAGAGTGCTTTTACATTTTATAAGAATCCAACAAGATGGCATCAAGTTGTATTATCACCATCCCATTCTACAGATGAAGAAACTGAGGCTCCAATAGGGGAAGCAACTTATCCAAGTCACATAGTATAGACAGCAAAGCTGGAACTCTAACTCAAACCCTTGTCTGACTCTAAACCCATATTTTTATTTTTTTAAGATTTTATTTTAAGGAATCTCTACATCCCAGTGTGGGGCTTGAACTCACAACCCCAAGGTCAAGACTTGCATGCTCTACCAACTGAGCCAGCCAGGGGCTCCTAAACCCATCTTTCCCATACAGCTGGGGTGCGTGTGTGTGAGGCTGTGAGTGTAGCAGTGCCTGTCATGTAGGCTCTGTAAAGTAGCATAACTGAGGAGATAAGACTAACCGACCACCTAAAACAGAGCAAGATGAGGAGGTCCAGAATCAAACTCGAAGATGGGTGGTGGCAAAGACAGCACATAGAAGGAAAAAGGAGCAGAGTGGCGTGGAGAGGATACTCCCAGCTAGAAGACCTGCAGGAGCAAAGGTGTAGAGACGGAGATGGGAATGAAGCCGGCATACTCAAGGTCAGAGTGCCGCTCAAGGACAGAAAGAGTCAAGGTCAGAAAGAGCCATACTACATCCTTGAGCAGGGGAAAGGTGAGATGATGTGGTGGGTCCTGGTCACCACCACCACCACTGTCATCATCTTCACCAACCTCAGTTAAACATCTACTGTGTGCTAAGCGCTGCCCCAATACCTACATGTACTATTTCATGCAACGTCTCAACACCTTTCTGGAGTAGGTCTTATTATTATCCTTATTTTGCAGATGAGAAAATGAGGTCCAAGGAGGTAAAGTGCCTGATCCATGGTCACTTAACTAGTAAGTGGTCAAGCTAGGACTTATACCTAGTCTGTCTGCTTCCATGGCCCATGACTCTAACCACGTGGGAGGTCCTCTGAGATCTTTGGGATAAAGGGGCTGGAAGTGGGCAAGGGCAGGTAGACTGGATGGGCTCCAGCACCCACCTACCCCAGAGCTGGCACCCACCCTCGTTTTCCAGCTTCCTCTTCTCCAGCTCCGCCTCTATCTGGTCCAGCACCATGGCCAGCTCCCCAAGGATCTTCTTCAGGTAGCTCACATCATCGTGCTCCAGGATCTTGGCCTGGGGACAGGACAGGCAGGAGCCAGAGGAGTTGACTTGGCTTCCATCAAGCCTGGATAACCAAGGCTGGAAGGAACTTGACCCAAACCCCCTTCAGCAAACCCAGCCTCCAAATATTCCCCTCAGCGTAGAGGGTGCCTCACTGTTACAAACAAAGCACCCTCATCTGGGGCTCACACACTCCTGGGAGCTTGGCTGTCCTGGCCAGACCTGGCTCTTTCATACGCCAGCTTCTATGAGGATCGGTTGATAGCAGCTCATTGTTGCCCTTTCTCCAGAGTTAGTCTCAGCCAACAAGAGCTGCCTGGAAATACTCGGGAGGGTGTCTCCCATCCCTCATGCCCCCGCCAGGCAATCTGTAGCCAATGACTGACTGACACAGGGGTATACAAATCTTGTCCCTTGCCTCCATGAGGGTTGACTTTGTGGTGACACTTGTGCTGCACAGCTCTCTGTGGGATCAGGTGAACTTGGCTTCTTCTTCCTTTCTATCCCTCCCACCCTTACTGGGTTCTCCTCAGAACACTCCTTCAATGCCACTCTTACCCAAGAACCTCTGTCCAATGCTCTGCTCTTAGGGACACATCCTAAGATGTCAGGAGACCAAGGCTCCAATGGGACAGTGCCCTGCCTAAGGTCAAAGAGCCAGTACGTGACAGAGGAGTCAGGATTGGAAAAGCAAGCCATTTTATGTCATCAGCGGATCCTCTATTTAGAATGAGCTTCTTCCATTTGATCTGTTTCATGGTGGGGAAGGGAACTGGGCAGGCCTGGAATCACTCACCATGAGCTTCTTCTGTTTGGAAAGGTAGGGCTCAGAGAGCTGGGGCTCCTCTTCATGGTCCAATTTCATGAGGTCTGTGGTGGCGTTGGCTAAATGTCCTGGGGAGAGAATAAGGAAGGCCCCATCTTTCTGATACCCAGAGCCACTCACACCCCTTCTTCCACAAGTTTGCAGGTAAGGTCCCACTCAAACATTGATCTGGGAAGTAATAATATCAACAGCCAACACCTAGTAGGCACAACAGGCTGCAACATAGGGATGGATGACATACCATCCTGCCCTAGGCTCAGGCTAGTGGGAGAAACAGACACATAAAGAAAGCTCTTTTACAGCACGATCAATCTGTAATGAAGAGTGAACCCCCAGAATGCTGTGAGACACAAAGGGCCACCTGCCCAGGCCACAAGGCATCAAGAAACCTCACTGAGGAGGAAACTACTCGGGGATGAGGAATTTGCCAGAAATGGAGAGGTTATAAACCTGGACAAAGTCATACTTCAGTGCATGTCTCCCCCCACCCTTTCCTGTGGTAAGGAAACAGGTTCAGAGAGGCTAAGTAATATCCCACACTAGTAAATGATAAGCAGGTTTTAAGCCTGGGTCCATCTGATTCTTAGTCTAGTGCTCACTCACTGTAGCTCACAAGGAAAAACTTGCTTAATGCAAGAAAAACCATAAGAGACTTTTGCTGTCTTGAAACTTCCCATTCTGGTGAGGCAATTTTCCTGAAGATTTAGCTAACCCCATATTTCCTGGGAAAACTGGCCTTTTAAAGATGCTAAAAAGGGAAGGGTGATGGAACAGTGGGTAAATGATGGAACTCAAGGTAGCACCTTGAGAATTATTCTTAATGAGAGAGAAGTGTCCTATAGTCCAACTTTGAGAGTCTAACTGTAAACTGTGGGAGTTATAAGAGGAGGCGAAAGTATCATGCAGGATAAGATCCTGGGGTCTGTTCCAAGACTGAGATGGGATTTCTCCAGAATTCTTGGCCAGTTAAGTCTGGGATGTGGTGGGTCAATCATGCCCTGCCCTTTCTCTTGTGTCCCAGCTCCACTTAGAGATCCTTTAGGCTCCTTGAATTCATCCTGGCCCACCTGACCCCGTCATCCTCCCTGCTCCACCTGCTCCTCGCCTGCATTCTCCCCTAACTGCAGCACCCCTCCCCCACACTGAGCCAAGCCAGATGCCTGAGGGGGTGCCCTCAATTCCTCCTTCACCTCCTCCCTGCACCAAATCAGTCCCAGGTCCTGTTGATTCCTCCTTCTTATTCTTTCTCATACTTAACTTCTCCTTTTTAATCCTCTGCCTCCCTTAGTTCAGACCCCCTTATTGATCTCTCTCTGGATGATTCTGACCCAGCCCTAGGCACCGGCACTCTCTCCTTCTGTGCCCTTCTCCCCATTCACACCAAAGAGGTCTTCCTCAAACACATACTTGACCATGCCACTCCCTGCTTAAAACCCATCCCTGGCTCCTCACTGCCCTGAGATAACATCCAAGCTCTTCAACTCGCCTTAAAAAAAACCAGCAGGATCCTCTCTTCTTACCAACTCCATCTTTCACTGAGTTACCCCACCTGTCCCTGTCCCCAGGTGGTAACATTTCAGCCACTCCAAATGCTTGGCATCCCCTGAATGTGCCAGACCATCTCAAACCTCTGGGCCTCTGCTCACACTATTTCTACCTCCTGGAATACTTTTCTCCTGTATTCCTGAAAATCCCCTTCTAGATCCAGTTCAAGATCACCTGCTCCATGAAGCCTGTCCTGATCCTTTAGGAGATCTGACCACTCAAGGCCTTTGTCCTCCTGTGTAGATTGTACAGATTTCTGCCAGAAAATGCAAATACAGTAATCAGAGCTGCCATTGCACACATCCATTCAGGTTACAGTCTATGTGAAAAGTGACCCCTGGACTTGTGCAGTGTACCACCTGTACTGCTATACATGGAGATTTTGATGTATTTATGTCTGGATGTATATGTCTCCCACTAGAATTTGAGTTTCTGGAGACCAGTGGCTATGTCAGATTTGTCTCTGTTTCCTTAAAACCCCGTACAGGCCTGACACAGAACAAGAGCTTAGTGAGAGTTGAATGAATGAATGAATAGAATGAGTAGGTGAATGAATAGAATGAGTGAATGAATGACCACAGATGTTCAGCTTCTGCCTTCTGATGTCTCACTATCTACCACCCCATCTCCTGGCCTGATAAAAAAAAAACCAGTAAACATACTCCCAGACCTTTCAGCTTTAGGGCTATATTAAGTTTCATTGATATTTTATGAATGTGAAGGTCAAGTATAGCATTTTCTCTCTTGCCAGTCACCCAGGGCTGCACATGTGGCTCTCCTTAGACTCCAAGAGGGCAAACCAAGCCCAGGAAAGACCTTAGGCTGACTGGAGGGATCACTGCAGGATCACTTCTGCATCCTGTGAGACCTCCCTCCTTCCCCAGTGGGGCTGGAGCCCTGAGATCTCTCTCCTCCAATGAGGAGCAGGCTGGGCCTTCTCTGGACCCCTTGCTACCTTCTAGACTCTTTCAGATGGCTCGTGGCAGAATGAGGAGGGGCCTCCAGCCCCTAGAAGCGGTTAGGGACTGCCTCCACCCAGTCCAGGCCCCCATCACTGCTCACCTAGATGACAGCAGGAACTCCTAACTGCTCCACCCATTCTTCTCTTGGTGGAGGGAGCTCTGTATAATGCACATCAGCCATGTTCACTTTCCATCCCTAGTTTCTCCACTGCTCTTTGGACAAGATTCCATTTCTGTCAGACCTACTCCCCAGACTCACACCACCAGCCACTCATACCTCCCTTGGGCTACACTTCATCCACACTGAACTTCCTTCAGTTCCCCAAACACACCACACCCTCTCCTACCCCTGAAGCTGAAGGGATTCTCTCTCTCCTTCCCCTTCTACCTCCTGGTCCTCCTTGGGTGTTGCTGCATTTCAGAAGCCCTCCGTGCCCCCAAGGCTGGGATGGGCACCTTCTCTTATTGTAACATTCATTGGTTCTAGGGTAACATTTTTTTAAATCAGTGTTTGAACAGGTTATACATACATACATACATACATACGTGTTTAAAAATTCAAACAATATTAAAAGAATGTACAGTGACAAGTAAATCCCTCTCCTCTCAATCTGTGGTCTCTTAGTTCTGCTCCCCAAAAGCAAACAGCTTCTCGTGTATCCCTCCAGAAATCCTCTGTGTTTGCAAGCACCTATGAGTCCATTTAACCCCCCTTTAAATATATTAATGATAGCAGCTAGTTGCATTTTTTTTGCCCTTCATTCCTACTGACTAATATATCTTAGAGAGCATCCCATATGCTTATTTTTTTTAGATTTTACTTAAATTCAAGTTAGTTAACATATAATGTATTATTAGTTTCAGTGGTAGAATTCAGTGATTCATCAGTTGCATGTAACACCCAGTGTCGTATGCTTATTTTTTTTTGTTTAATAGTTGTGCAGTGTTCCATCATATGGGAAGACTAGAAGTGTCCTAGTGTAGGGGAAGACTAAAATTTATTTACCCAGTTCCCAACTCATGCACAGCTGGGTTGTTCCCAGCTTCTTGCTATTACCACCTATGCTGCAGTGAATTATTTTTGTGCATGGTTCTTGGTGCACACATCCAGGTGTAACTGCGGGATCATCTCCAAGGGGTGGGTCTTTCTGTGTTTGATCTAGAGTGTCAGGCTGCCCTCCTGAGAGGCTGTTCAAACGTATTTAGTCCTGCACTGCAATTACCTGGTCACTTGTCGTTCTGCTTCCCTGTGATGGAACTGTGACCCTGGGATGGTAGAAGCTATGTCTGTCCCCACCTCTCCCCAGCCCCCTGCCCAGGGCCTGGGCCATAGGAGACCTCCTCAGTGTTGTTGACTGAATGCAGATAGGATGATACTGATAAATTCCAAGTCTTGTTCGAGGGTACTCTAAAGGGACGAGACCAAGTTCCACAACCTGCCCCTTCCCACTTTTAAACATCAGCTCACTCCCTCAAGAGGGAGGAAGTGACCATTTACTAAGCACCTAGTATCTACTTAGAATCATCACACTTCATCTATCTAAAGGACCCCATGGTGTCTGCACAGAGCCTGGATCAAAGTCTGTAAACAGCTATTGATGGATAATCTGATTTAATCCAATCCCCATTTACTGGGTGCTGGAAACTAAAGGATGAACCAGGCTATGGGCACATCCAGGCTAGCAGTTAGGACAGGACACCCCACAGGGGGCCTTGCATATCTGGACAGCTTTCCTTGGTGGCACCAACCCTGATGTCACTCAGTGCCCTGGATCACCAACCACAGTCCTGACCTCCCTGGGCCCTGACCATGTCCTCCACCATGATGGTGCCCCAGCTTCCTATGGACAAGACAAGGAGAGCCTCTGTATGGGATGGCAGGACATGGGGAAGGGCAGGAGAGGGGAATCAGACAGCCAGAGAGGGAGACACATTTCAGTGTGAACAGAATGAATGAGATGGAAGGCCAGGGAGAGTGGTGGAGAGAAAGCAAGTGGGAGTGGGGGGGAGAGGCGGGGGTGAGGATCGAGCCAGAGACTCCCAGAGGGAGGGCCAGAGACATTAACAGAGACAGAGACAAAGGGGTAGAGCGAGAGGCAGAGGGGGATGAGGGAGACCAGGAGGGATACGAGGAAGAAGGAATAAGAGACACACAGTGGGAGGAAGAGATGGAGAAGGAGACTCCTATGGAAAGGGAAAAAGTGGGCAAATGGGGGTAACCTGGGGCACTCACTGCGGATCTCGGCCGTGGCGTACTTGGGGATCATGGAGTCAGTGGTGAGCTCAGGGTGCAGGATGCAGCCGTGCGTGTAGGCGTCCATGGGCAGCGCGCCCAGCAGCTCCCGGTACTGCAGCACCCTTGCGTGCTGAGGGCTGCCCGCCTCAGGCATCAGGGCCACCACGTGCTCTGCGGGGCACAGCGGGGGCTGGGCTGGGGGGGCTCCCGCCCTGGCCACCTACCCCCCTGATTTGGACAGGCCAGGCTCTGGTACCCCATCCCTCGATCCCAGCATCCTGGAACCCCGAAATATGGAGGCCCACAGGGACCGCCCCTTTTCCCAGGCTCTTGAGATAAAGTCTCCACCAGGCTGACAGGGGATCTTACTGGTCTACCTCATCTCCCTGGAGTCCTGCCAACCTGTCTGCTAGGGGGCAGCTCCTCACCACTCCAGGCTTGTTGCCCGATGGGGGTCTAGGCCCAGTGTTGCCAGGCTTTCAAGAGAAGCCAGAAATCTGGATGCTTAAAACTGAATTTTCTTTGATTTTTAATTGTTGGCAACTCATTCATATTCTTTCTACACAGTACATGTCTGGACCCCGACCCCCTCTCAGCTGGGTTTGCAGCATCTGCCATAGGCAGTGGGCTTTTGAACCTGAAGAAGGCCGGAGGGAGGGAAGGAGACATGGGGCCCTATAGGGTTCTGCGGTGTCGGGGTCCTGCTCACATCTGCAATGTTTTAGGGTACCTGGGCCCATGACTATGGGGTGCCCGGGGGGCCCATGGCCCTGACTGTGCTTATAGGGATTCAGGGGGCTGGGCCCTGCCCATGGCCTGGCATTGTTGGAAGATCTGGGCCCCGTGTGTGGTGACTAGGAGGGCCTGTGTCCTGCTCCCGCCTGGGGGCTCTGAGGACCTGTGACCATACCTCTGACTCCAGAGCTCCTGGGGAAGTAGGCTGTAGCCCCAGTGCTCCCAGGGGTGTGTCTGGGCCAGCTAGCCCTTTCCCTGGAGTATTGAGGAGAGGATTTGTGGCGTCCCAAGGATCGTGGCCATGCCTGTAGCTCTGTGATTCCTGGGGGGCATCTAAGCCCTGTTTGCAGCCCCATCGTTCCTTTCAGGGAAGGCTGGGTCATGTCCACAGCCCCATTGGGCCTCCTCAGGCTCCCCAAGGTTCTGGGAACCTGTCTGAGCCCATGGAGTCCCTTGGGTCTGTGGCTGAGCCCCTGGTGGGTATGGCAACCATACCTCCTGTAAAGGTTCGCTCCACGTAGTCGATGATCTGGTCGTAGTCGCTGATGATATTGTCCCGGTGGATGATGACGGGCACCTCCTCCCCCAGGTTGAGCCGCATGAACCAGGGCTCCTTGTGCTCGCTCTGTGGCAGGCTCACGTCCCGCTCCTCACACACCAGGCCCTTCTCTGCAATCACGAGCCGCACCTGCAGGCGCCAGGGTCAGAGCAGGGAAGGCGGGCAGATGCGGGCGCAGGGGGGGGGGTGGGGTAGATACTCTGCCCGGGGGGGGGGGGCCATGAAGGAGGGAGGTCAGAGGTCACACACAGGAGGTGCATGGTTGCTTCCAGCTCATTCTTGGACTCCTGGCAGGGGTGGTAGGTGGAATCTCCCAGGACCCTGGAGCCTCTTGGCAGGAGGAACACAGCCCTACTCTGGGGCAAAGTGGCAGTGCTCCCTGGTGGTGATGGGACTGGGTTTCACAGCTGGACATATCTGGGATAGGATTCCTGGCTCTGCTCTGTGTGTTTGGGCAGATTCCTTAAACTTTCTGAGCCTTAGTTTCCTTATTTGCAAAATGGAAGTATTAATAGTACCACCCCAGTGTCTGGTACATGGAGGGCACTCAGTTCATGATTTCATTATCAGGATTAGATGCTCAGCCTGGCCTCCAGGGGTACATCTGGCCAGGAAATTCAGAGAAATTCTTATCAACATAATCAATAGCTAAATTTCTCAAATTATTTGGGAAACAAAACAAGGTGCAAAATAATTTGCCAACATCAGACGAGTCTTTTATTGCCCCACACACCTTCCCATGTGGTTGTTGAATATTCACAATAGCCTCCCAGAAGAGGGTAGTTGGGGAACTATCCCCTCTGTTTTTCTTGATGATGAGAAAACTAAAGGCCAGAGAGGGCAAGTAACTTACCCAAAGTCACACAGCCAAGGTAGCAGCAGACCTGAAACTGGAAGCAATGGGTCCTGACTCCCAGCCCAGTATTCTCTGCCCTGCGGGCACCTTCAGAGAGTCCTGGGCCTGTCCCTCCTTAGTTTTTCCCTATGTCTCTAAGGGGTCCCAGACAAATATTTGAGCTGGTAGAAGCTAGTGGAGAGCCTTGAAGCTGGGGCCTGCTCCTGACACAGCCCAACATTTCTGAGCTGGAAGACAACAAGAGATCACTTCGTCCAACTGCCCCCTGCCTGTGGATGGAGACTCAAAAAGAAGATGACTTGTCCAAGGTCTCCCAGCAAAAAGATGGCAAATGACTCCACTCCTTCCCACTAATGGCTCCAGTTCAGGGAAAGGGAGGGCACCCCTGAGGCCAGCAAAAGTGGTTCTCCTGGAGGATCAATGTCCCCACACGCCCGGTAGCTCCTGGAACTGGGCGTCCCCAGCCTCCCTCCCAAGTGCCAGGAGTTAAGCACTTAACTGCCCCACAGAGGGGCAGCATGGTATCATGGTCAGACCTTGGACTGGAGGCCAGGCTGTCAGTTCAAATCCCAGCTCTAGCACCTACTTGCTGGGTGACTTGGCTTTACATCTGTGTGCCTCAGTTTCCTCACCTGTCCAATGAGAGTCCCACCAGCAATTCCCACAGAGGGCTGCTGTGCGGATGAGATACTTTAGTCCCTGCGGAACAGTGCCTGGCACACCGTAGGCATAACGTGTCTTAGCCACTTGTATGAGATCATCTAGACTTGAAGCCTGGCTCTGCTTCTTATTTGCTTTGTGACCTTGGACAAGTCACTTGACTTCTCTGATCTTAGGTTCTATGAAATGAGGAATGTAATCCACTCTTTCAAGCATGGCATGAGGTTGGGATGGGATGACGTGGATAAAGTCCCAGCCCAGGAGGTTAATACATGGGTTCTACCATCACAATCTCACACACACACACACACACACACACACACACACACACACACACAACCTCACACCCGTGGCTGATGTCCTAGAGCAGTACTTCATGCCCCATCCTCACAGCTAACATGAACACCCCTTTCCTTGTGGGGAGGGAGAGGCAATGAGCCCTTGAACCCCCAACCCTCATTCACAGATTCATTTGCTCCATTAGCCAAAAGCAGGCCGTGCAGACGGGGCTGGGAGGTCCTCACCCTCTGCCACAGCAATGTTATGTGACCTTAGAGCTATCACGGCCCCTGAGCCTCCTTTTAATCATTAGTAGAACGAGGGCTGGACTCCGTGTTCAAGGTGCGCCCTGCAGTGCTGCTGCACTACATTCAGACCACACCAGAGACAGTAGGAAGGAACTGCTGATTCTGTCTAAGAGAGGGGGAGGAACTGTGCCAGAGAGTGAGCACCGGGGGTGGCATCTGTTTGGTCTGGGGATGTGAGTATGTGAGTGCATGAGCCTGAACCTGAGTGGCAACTGCGTAAATGAACGTGTGTGTGTGTGTGTGTGTGTGTGTGCATGAGTGTGGGTATGTATGGATGAGTGTCTGAGCAACTGTATTAAAGTATTGTGTGAATGCATGTACATTAGTGTGGATATGAGTGTGCATAGGCACATGTGTGTGTCCTTATGTGTATGTACAAGTGAGTGTGCATGAGCAGGAGAGTATGTGCATGTGTATATCTGAACTCCTGGGTGGTGCCAATGCCCTGGAGAAGCCCCAGAGCAGTCAAGGCTGGAGTTTGGCTGGAGCCGAACTGCCCACTCCCTTCCTCCTGCTCATCCTGGCATCCTCCACCTGGGCGATCTGGCTCCGCCCAGCCATCCAGCCTCCCCAGGCCAAGCTGGGACCACTGAATGGATGGAAACAGAAATCAAATCAGGCCTCTGCCCTTGGCAGGTCCAGACATTTGGCCTTGCCTCCTGGCAGGGCACCTGCCCCCAAGGACCACTCCCAGGTCCTGCCCTGGGACTCCAGTGAGGGCACCAGGTGGGGCTGGTGCCTGGGGAGGGGACTTTCTTTAGGGATGTAAGAGTTTTGCTTGGAGCTGCCTTGGGGTCCCGCCGGCAGGCAGCCAAGGAGACTTTCTCCTTTAGCTGAGCTGCAGGCCAGAGCCAGGTGCCATCCTGCAGGGGAGGGGAGGGCGGGAGGAAGCCAGGCCCGGGGGAAGGGCATGCAGTCACAAGGCCATCTGCCACTCTGAATCCCAGAGACTGGACCAGACTTAGGTGGTCATCACGCAGTGTGGCCAGCCATCAAGCACCCCTGGGGCAGACTCCTCCCCGCAGGTGCATGGAATTAGCTCACTGGTGCTTCTTGTCATAGTTGGGCACTGTCCCTCCTCACCCAGGCCCTAGTTTATGAGGCAACGGCAAGGTGCTGGCTTGGCATCTCTGCCCAACCCTTTAGTTGCTGTGTGACTTTGTAAAAGACATTTAAGAGTCTCTGAACCTCAGTGTATTTCTCTCAAATACTTTTTTTTAATTAATCAAGGTGAGGGAGTGGCCCACACAGGGATCAAAGGAAAAGAGTTCCAGGCAGAGGGACTGGCCAGCACTAGAGCCCCGTACGGTGTCTGGTGTATTGAAACACAATGAGGAGGTCAGTGTGGCTGGGGCGGGGGGCGGGGCAGACAGGGAGAGAGACGAGGGCAGGTCCTGTACAGGGCCTTGTAATGGAGACTCCCAGGTTCAGGGGTCCATGAATCAATCCAGGGGCTCTTTAAACTAGGATGGGAAAATTATATGTTGATTTTCAGTAATCTCATACTGACAGCATTTTCTGCAATTATGAGTAGTGTAGGCGACAAAGTATGGTAGTGTTAGCAATGCCTGAAATATTGTCGCCACAGGGAATCACTTTCATCACTCCACACTGCTACAGTACACTCAGCAGGACTTTGACATTACAGGGATCGGTTCTGCCACAGGGTCAGGCTGTATAACGGGTTAATATAGAAACGTGTTATTATATAATGAATTTGTTTTAAAAGTATGACATTAGCTGTACTTCGATTGGCTTTCCTTTTAGTAATGCAGTGTATTTTATTTTATCCATGAAAAGCATTATTGTGAGAAAGATCCACAGGGCTCCCCCCGTTGATGAGGGGTCCATGACCTAATCATGCTTAGGATCCTGCAGCAGAGCCTAAGGCCATTATGAGGATTCTGGCTCTTTCCCGGAAGGACCCGGTGAGCCACTGCAGGCTTCTTCTTTTTTTTTTTTTTTTTTAGATTTTATTTATTTTTGTGAGAGAGAGGGAGAGTGAAGGCGAGCAGGAGGTGAGGCAGCAGGCAGAGGAAGAAGCAGGCTCCCTGCTGAGCAGGGAGCCTGATGTGGGGGATCATGACCTGAGCCAAAGGCAAATGCTTAACCAACTGAGCCACCCAGGCGCCCCAACCACTGCAGGCTTCTGAGAAGAGTGGTGAGATCTGCAGTTGTCACCTGTGAGTTTCTGGGGGTGGGGGTGGGGTAAAGTGTCAAGTGCAACATGGACAGGGCTGGGGGCCAGGACCCAAGAGCTTGAAAGGCAAGGCCAGGGTGGGAGGTAGGGATCACGCTCCACCTCTTGCTTCCTCCTGCCATGTCTGAGAGGGGCCTCTGGAAGACCTGCTCAGTCTTGGGTGTCAGGACTGTCTTCTGACAGGACCCAGGTCTGGGCCTCTTACTGCTGGGGGCAGAAGGTTGGGCCAGGTTCTCCCCACAGGTACTTCTAAGACAAGGGCAGACCCTGAGAAGATGGGATCAGGGAACCTTGAACAGGCTTGTTGCAGGAAGCCAAGGATGGCTCTCAGAGACTCACCTTGGTAGAAATAACAAGAACAACAGCTAACTCTCATTTGGCACTTTCTCTGTACTAGACACCTGCTCTAAGACATTTACATGTGTTACAAAAACCTAATTAGGTAGGTACTAGTATTGTGCTCCTTTTACAAAAGAGGAAACAGGCACAGAGACAGCACTAAGTTGCCCAAAGTCACAGAGCTAGTAAATAGCAATTTTGGTTTTTTAAAAAACTGGCTGATGCGAGGACGGAAGGATGCTCAAAGGGCTGGGGACACACAGAGACAGGGCTGTTCTTCCTGCCTAGGGAGGGAGGGATGCAGGTTGTATCACACATCTAGTCCATTTTCATGTTGAAAAGCCGAGGACCAAAAAGGGTCAGGACATACATGAGGTCACAAGCTAATGAGTGGGAATACCAGCAATCAGAATGTCTGCAGGTTTGCCCCTCCAAGTCTCACCCCTTTGCCCACCCCCACCCCCCAGCCAAGGAGAAGGAGGCTGGAGGGCAGGAACAGCCTCAGAAACAAGCTAACATCTACACTTTGCATTTAGAACCTCCTCTGAACCCTGTGGCCCCAGGTGATCACTTATGATGGTGCCCAAAAGTTCACTGTTAGTGTGCAATCTTTAAGGCATCGTGCTAAGTTTGTGGCCATGCATGATATCATCCAATCCTCACAACCCTCTGAGGTAGGTACCATTCCTTCAGCACAGAGGAGGAAGCGGAGACTTGCAGACGTGAAGACACATGCACGAAGTGACACTGTGGGAGGTGGCCCAATCAGGCTTTGATCTCCTGTCTGGCAAATGTAAGTTTGCTTACTGGGCACTTTCTATGAGCCAGGTGCTGCTCCAGGTGATTTAATGGACACATTTGCTGAATCCTCACAATGGCCCTATCCTGGATGTGCTATTATTATTCTCAATTTACAGATGTGATGCCTGAGGCATGAGAGGCTAAGCAACCTGCCCAGAATTATCTAGCTGGTCAGTGGCAGAGTTAAAATTGAACTCTGGGCAGTCTGGCCCCAGAGTCTGGGTTCTGGACCGCCTCACTGTCCTGCTGCCCTCTGGCTCTGGGACTGTCCCCAGATGTCCCATGAAGCCACCACCACCACTCTTGGGGGTAGGCTATTTTCTGCTATTCATGTACCATTAAAGACAGGCTTCTAGATGCTCTACCAAGGGGAACTGCTCCCTGAATGCAGGCAGGGCTCTTCAGGACTGAAAAGAAGGAAACTTACCTGCTTAATTCCTATTATGTGCCAGACACTTAACGTATGTCCTCTTAATCTCCCAGGAATTCTGCAGGGTTGGATGCAAAAGTCCCTTTTGCTACATGAGGATGTTGAGGCACAGAGAAGTGACTTGTCCAAGGTCACGCAGCCAGTAAGCACTTAAGATGAAAATGGAACCCAAGACCATCTGACTGTAGAGCCCATGACCTTCCCACCAGGCTACACCGCCTCTAGAACCCACCATGGTCCCCCAGGCAAGGGGAAGGTCCTGGAAGGGGAGGCAGGAAGATACCCAGGCTGGCCTGGTCACAAATGGGGTTGCAATGGGTAGTCCCATCCCTGAATAAGGGGCCATCTCAGCCTTAAGTGCAGACTGAATAGGATATATTCCATGGTGGCAAAGGGAAGAGCAAGAAGCTCCCTTGGGGAATGGTGATGGGAGGTACCATCCCTCTGCCCCCTGTCCAGTGCCAGCCACTGAGGCCTGGCTCCTAAGGTGCTGGGTGGGAAGGTATTCTGAAATCTGGAAGTCAGTCTAATTCATCTCCAAAGTGCCAGCAACTTGCATAGAGCCTGGCATGCAGTAGGTGCTCAGCATGCATGTGTAGAATTTATGGGTGAGGTCCAGAGTGCCCTGGCTAACCCAACTCCTCCTTCCCCTAGCACTTTAGTGATATCATAACACCTATAATTATCAGAGTCTTGACCCTTTGCCAGGCACTGCTACCAGCACGTTTTGTGTGTCACTTCATTTTACCCTCAAAATAACCCTCTGAGAAAGGTACTGCCATTAACTCCATTTTACAGATTATAAAACCGAGGCTTTGGAGAGGCAAGGCAACCTGTCCAAAGCTTTATAGTGAATTACTGGGGAAGATGGCTCTTCCACTGGGGACTGCCTGGGCTCAGAGTCTATACTCTAAACTGGAGCTACTCAAAAGAGGATCAGTGGGCCAGCTTTATCAGCATCACTGGCAGCTAGTTGGAAATGCAGCCTCTTGAGCCCTACTCCAGACCTGCTGAATCAGAATATCTGGGGTGGGACCCAGCAGTCTGTGTTTTAACCAGGATCATGCAGTGATTCTAATGTATGCTCAAGTTTGGGTAGTGCCATCTAGAACACTAAGTTATACCGCCTCTTCAACAACCCTCTCAGCAGCTCTGAGAAGGGGTGGGAATTAGAAGAAGTAACTATTACTATTATCATTGTTGTTGTTGTTATCATCATCATCATCATCATCATCTCATTTCCCAGATGATGAACTGAGCCTGGACCAAGACTCAAACTCAATCTTTGGCTCCTTTCTCTTTACGGAATCTGTTTCTCCACCTGAAAAATGAGTGAATGGAACAAAAGGATCTTCCAGGAAGAAGAGGAATCCCAGGTCTGACAATGAGCGCCACTTAGGAGATCAGCAGCACTCGCTGTTGGGCCCTGGCCATGGTGCTGAATTCGTGCCCCACTGACGGACAGCCGCCCAGAGTGGGAGATTGCGCCCCTAGAGGCTCCCCTGTCTTACAGGCGCAGGGTCTGGCCCTCACCCCCAGGAAGCGGGAACCGGAAAACTCAGCACCAGGCTGTATTCCTAACTGCTCCCCACCCCCAGCTCGTCTGGGTCTGAGAAGGGGCGGAGGGGCCGTCTGTGTCTTTAAGAGCAAAACATAGATTTTAGGGGCCGAACCGAGCTGGTCTAAGGAGATGGGTTAACTCCTTCCTTCTCAGCTCAAGATAAGTGTGGATGCAGGAGAGGACTAGGGACAAACCCTCCAAGCCCTAGCCAGAGGAAGGCTCCCAGACAGGCAGGAGCTGTGACCTGGAGGGCCTGTAGTATCTGGGACAGCAGCTCGGAGGGAGGCCCACCACCGACTACTGGAGCTGGAGGCTGGATCCCAGGAAGCGCTCCTCCTCCCTCCCCGCAGCAGCCGCCCCCTCCAACAGGCCGCCTTCCCAGCAGTGCCCATTCCCTTCCCCTTGCCTTTGTCTCTCTTCTCAGCCTTCCAACAGACTGGGTCTTTCTGGGAGGGAAAGAGGCATAATGGATGTTCCCAGAATTGAGGATGGTGCTCCTGGGGCCCAACACAGGGCCAGTCACCTCCCGGGAGAGCAGCCCGGCATTCTCCACCCTCCGGCCCCTGAAACCCCACATTTCACCCTCCAGCCTCTCACCGGGGTCCTCAGACCTCTTCTAACCTCCTGGATCCCCTCCCCCACGCCTCCTAGCCACCGGGTGCATTCTGCTCCCCTGCTCCCTTGGGCTCTACCTTCTGTGAGCTGAAGGACTGGGTCCAGTGGTACAGAACAAGGCTCTCCTTGGGCCAATGGGCGGGGCTGGCCGCCTCGAGCGCGTCGGGGGCCTCCACCGGCTTGGCCGCATCGCTCTCCAGCGCCGAGATGGGCCACCAGCTGCAGTTGGTGGGGGTCAGGTTGTTGGGGGTCGCCATGACAGCCCGGAATCAGAGGGAGGAAAGAAGGAGGCTCCGCGGCGGCAGCTCTCTCTCGCCCAGCATCACATGGCCTCGCGGAGCCTGCCCCTCTGCTTCGCTCCCTCCCTCCCCTCTCCGTGAATGTCATTACTCGCTGTGTGAGTGGGGGAGGGGCGTGGGGGGTCCCGGGAGCTCCTTCCCTCCTCCTCCCCTTGGCGCGCCCCTGGCCCCTGCCAGAGAAACCACCAGTCCTCTCGGGTCCGGCTCCCTGGAAGGGTTCGAGGAGCCACAGGGGAGTGGGCCATGTCCCCCAAATAGCTAATATCTGGCCAGTCATCTGCCAAGACTCCACCATTGTTAATGCATTCTGACTATCTTCCAGGAAGCAAATACCTCTTAGGACAACTGGTGTTATAGAGACACATTCCTTTCATAAATCAGTGTCTGGAAATAGCTTGTCTCTCTTAGGGGCTGTCATTTTCTAGCATTTCTCCTGAAGGACCTCTAAGGACAGAAGGGAGCAAACTACGAAGTCCGGAGCAAATGCTTACATAGCACTTGCTGTGTGCCCAGGCTTTACAACCATCAAGTCATTGAGCCCTCACAATAACCCTATGAGCCTCGTTTTATAGAGGACAAAACTGAGCACAGAGAGGTTAAGTGACCTTGTCCAAGGTCCCGTAGCGAGTAAGTGGTGGATTCAAGATTCGAACCCAGCTTGTCTGGCTCCAGAGTCTATGCTCTTAGTGATAAGGTCATGATACCATGATAATGATATAGACAAAAGCACAGCAAGCATTTATCAACCCAAGCACTTTACACGCATCATCTCATTTCATCTGCACAATAATCATTTTTACGAGAGGAGGAGGATGAGGTTGAGAGTCAAGTCATTGGTCCAAGGTCACTTCACCCAGGAGACTAAGGCATAACTAGCAGAGCCCATAATGTCCTGCTGTCACTTAGTTTATCCTAAATATTCGTGGGAGTTTTACATAAAGTTCCTTAATATACCCTTGCTTCCCTTGCTATAAATATTGTTGTAATTTATTTACCATTGAGCAAATAGATGCACCAGGAAGATAAGCTTCTGATTTGCCCTCCCTCCATGTGATGCTCTTAAAAACTCCTGAGCATGGGGCCGCCTGAGTGGCTCAGGCGTTAAGCATCTGCCTTCGGCTCAGGTCATGATCCCAGGGTCCTGGGATTGAGCCCCGCATCGGGCTCCCTCCTGGCAGGAAGCCTACTTCTCCCTCTCCTAGCCCCCCTGCTTGTGTTCCCTCCCTCGCTGTCTCTCTCTCTGTTAAACAAATAAATAAAATCTTAAAAAAAAAAAAACTCCTGAGCACATCACCCTTTCAGACTGATAAGCATGGCTCTTGAGGAATCAGTGTCCTTCCTTCTACCAGATAGCAAAATTTCCGTGGCCCATGGGCTTCCCTTTTTGCTTTGGCTGTCAGGAAGCTTGGAGCTACATTTTCTACTAAGTCCCAGTTGCCACATTAGCCTTCCTGGTTCAGCAAATTCTTTGTTGCCCTTCCATGAATTTTTTTTTTAAGATTTTATTCATTTGAGAGAGAGAGAGAGAGAGAGAGCCCACGAGTGGGGGGAGGGTCAAAGGGAAAGGGAGAAGCAGATTCCCCACTGAGTAGGGAGCCTGACTGGGGGGGGCGGTGTGTGTGTGCTGGATCCCAGGACCCTGAGATCACAACCTGAGCTGAAGGCAGATGCTTAACAAACTGAGCCACCCAGGTGTCCCTCCATGAAATTTTTATTCCTTTTTCCTCAAAGTGTCTTGTTGTTCATGATTAGATTTTACAAAGCAGGATATGATGTGTCTTTAGGGAAAATTCAAATTTTCAGGGAAGTAAGACCTTAGAAAATCTGGTCCCTGTAGAGGCCAATTTTAGGCAACAGGCTTGAGCAGTGGAAACTTGAGCAAGGCAAAAGGGCCCACAGCGACCACCTAGCTGACCCAGATAGGCTCATTAAGAGACCCAACTTGAAAGAGCCATCAGCCCTAACTGACCAGTTACAACCAAGCACAGTTCCTAAGATTACCAAAAAAAAAAAAAAAAAGGACAATTCCATATGTCCCCATACTCCCTTACTCCACCCTAAAACTATAGCTCGTGGCAGACAAGCTCTCCTTTACTGTCCTGCCAATGCTCCCTTGCAGTGTATCCAATAAACTTCTATCACTTTTGTTCTGCGTTCAGTGAATCTTTCATCCCTGGCACTGCCAGCCGCCACCCAACTGGGATGCCCCACAGTCCCTGTGTCTTCGACCTAAATGCATCCAAGGAGCCCATGTTACAGCAGTTGCACTCAAATGTGTACTCATCCCCTCAACAAATATTAACTGTGCCCCCACTGTGTACTAGGCGCTTTGATGGCATCAGAAATACGGTGACAAACAGGACAGACATTGGTCTGCTCTTTGCATTTTTCACTTATCGATACATCTGGGAAAGAGCTTCCTATCGATGCAGGTCTAATCCATACTTTAGAACAGTCTACATGGTATGGATGCCCTGTAATAAATTTAACAACTCCTATTAACAGACATATATGCTGTTTCTAATTTTTTGTTATAAAAACAATGCTGCAGCGAAAATCCTTATTCATACAGATCTGTGCCCATGTTTGAGTATAATTTGTATGATAAATTCCTAGCAGTGGAGTTGCTAGATCGAAGAATATGTCTCTGCCCAAGTTCCCTTCAAAGAGGCTGTTCCAATTTATACTCCCCACTAACAATCAACAAAAGGGCCCATTTCCCTGCACCCTTGCCCACTCAGCATATTTTTTAAATATTTTTTTTTCTTTTTGAATCTCTGGGTGAAAAATGGTATATTGCAGTTTTTATTTGCTTCTCTCTTTTGAGTTTTTATGATAAAGAAATTTTCAGACATGACATAGCAAACAAAATAGCTCAATGAACATCCATATATCCATCACCTAAATACAATCATTAGTTAAAACTTGCCACGTTTGTTTAATTTGGGAAGGAGCGTTTGAAGTATTTTGAAACGAATTATAGGCATCATGATACTTCATCCATGAAATACTTCACTATTAGATACTTTACATCTAATATAAGTCATTTTCTCCATAAACACACTTTTCACATTTAAAAATTTAACAATAAGGCCCTGATATCTAGTTCACATTCCCATTTCTCCTGTCATACCGGAAATGTCTGCATAGTGAGTTTGAACCAGGATCCACACGAGAACCATGCCTTGAATTCTGTTGTTACCTCTCAACTCTCTTTTATGGAGAATGGTCCTCATTCCTTTATATTTTTCCCCACAATGTTAACTCACAGAGCCGTCCTGTACAATGTTCTGCTTGGGGTCCTGATTGGTCATTGTCGCGCCTTTTATCTTGTACTGTCCTCTGTGTTTCCTATAAACTACCACTTAGGTCTAAAGCATAGACTAGATTCAGGTGAAGCATTTGTGGGCAGGAATTTAACTAATCCTTTGTGGGTGGAGCCGTGTGCTTCATTTTGCCTCGAGTCTGGACATCCGCAATGTCTTGGTGTCCCACTATAAGTGACGCCATATTTGATTGAGGTAGTGACCACCACTTTCCATGTTAAATGTCCATTTTTCCTCTTCCCACCAGGACCTTGTGGGTATCTGGTTTCTCATCCACTGATGGTCCTTGGCTAGACCAATTATCAGGGGCTGTAAAATGATTTTCTAATTTTGCCCTTTCAGGTGCCTTATCAACTGGCATTCTTTGAGTTTCATCTTTTCAACTGTTTCAAATCCATTTTAATTTCTTCCACAGTGAATGGTCTGTGTTTCCGTGCGGACCTGGGCAATTATACCCCAATGTGATGAGTGCTGTGCTGGGGTAAGGACGGGGGGTGTGGCAGAGCCGGGAAGGGGCGCCTGCCTGTCCCACCTGGGTGCTGGACATGCCAGTGAAGGCTCTCAGGAGCTGGGGGCTCTCAGCATGGGTTCCTCTGAAGCAGATCCCAAGACAAGAATTCAAGGACAAGCGGGGCACCCGGGTGGCTCAGTCGGTTAAGCATCCGCCTTAGGCGGATGATGATCCCAGCAGGGAGCCTGCTTCTCCTTCTCCCTCCACCTGCCTGTCTGCCTACTTGTGATCTTTCTCTGTCAAATAAATAAATAAAATCCTAAAAAAAAAAAAAATTCAAGGACAAGCAGTTAACTTGGGAGAAGGAAACTCTGGGAGGCAAGTGGGGGAATAACAGGCAAGAAAGGCAGTCTGGGAAGGTGTATTGTCAAGCAAGTTAGCACCCTGGGTGCCCAGAGCTTAATCCCACAGGGAAATCCCAAGGCTGGTGTAAAGCACTACCCCCCCCCCCCCAGGAGGAAGAAAGCCAGGGCATTTGCACACCAAGTCCTGTCATTGTTGGAAGGCTGCTCCTTGCAGGGAGTGCTAATTTCCCAGCACTTCCGGGCCTGCCCTGAGGTTGGCAGAGAAGCTTCCAGTGACTACAGAAAGCCCTCAGGCAACCCATGTGAGTGCTGCCTGCTGGGGGTCAGCCGGTGTGCACAGAAATGGTAAAAGTAGGGACGGGTAAGGCATTGCCAGCACCTGCTCAGGGACCTCTAAGAAGAGACTTTAAGAATGAGGAGGAATTAGCCAGATGGAGAGAAGATGGGGAAAGGGATGCATGCTCCAGGCAGAGGGAGGAGCAGGTGCAAAGCCCAGAGGTAAGAGAGAGGGTGCGGTGTTTCAGGGACCCACGGCTGTTCATCTGGTTGGAGACAGAGGTGAGAGATGAGGCTCGGTGGTCATGCCAGGCCTGCTAAGCCACCTTTAGGAGTTATCACATCATGCTGAGGGCACTGGGGAGTCACTGGAGAGTTTTAATCAGGGAAAAATAACGTCCAGTTTGGGTGCCAGAAATCTGAAAACGCCTGAGATATATATACTGACATTCCAATGTATTAATTCACACTGGAGACGAGCTGTTCCTTGCCAGTGATGGGATCACTCCTGCCCTTCTCTCCCTGAGAACCAAGGACGGACTCAGCCACCAAGAGGTTGCCTTGAATGTGAACTCAGTGCACAGAGAGGTGGAG